GGCTCCCACGCGGCTCACCTTCTCTGCCCTAGGAGCTTGGGATGGCAGCGGGGGAGCTTCCTTCTGGGTGCTGGGACCAGCTGAGCTTCACTGCCCCAGGAATGTGAACATTTCAGAGACAGTTCTCAGCTGGGCTCAGCTGAGGTTGAAATCTATTAATTTGTAGTGGCACTAATCTGCATTCCTGTGTGATTTTCCTTAGTAGCTCTCAGTCATTCATGTATAAACTTGAGCAGGTAGATTTTAGTTCTATAAAAAGAGTTCTATCAGAGAGGTCCTAACAGCTCTTGGATTGGCTACTTGCAAACCTCTCACCAAAAATATAATCGCCAATTGTGGGGGATATTTGTGAAATTGCAGGGCTTTCCTCAAACAATTGTTAATTAGGTTCTAAGGAAAGATCTGCCAATGACTGAAGCTATGAACTCTAAACTGCAACTTCTAGGGGGTATACTCTATTGGGAAGGGCCTCATTTTAAAAGGGACATTTGAACCAAGTGTAAATTTAGCAGTTCAAGTGAAATTTGGCAGTATTTTATTGAGTAAAATAATTGTTACCCTACTTGTTTGAAATCATAGTGTAAGATTTAAATTAAGATATATACTTTTTCTTGATTTATCATGGGAAAATAATTGCTTATTGTAGTGACTAAGCTAGTAGTGACTAAACTTTATGTTTAAAAGATTGTCTTTTCCTAGTCTCATTATTTTTCTAAATTCCTTATAATTTCCATATGTTAAGAAATACATGTATTTTCCTCAAATATGTTGTGGCTTCCCAAAAGTTTTTCTAAAAACATGATGGAATTCTTTTATTATTATCTTTCTATTCCCAATGAGATCTTTCTAGTTTCATGGGATTCAGCATGACATAAGCAAGGTACTTTCAGAGGCAAAGCTCTGTGCCTTGGATGCCGTAAGCTGGCAAGTCCCTGGCCCACTCTTCTGTTTCTGCCTGAAAAATCAGATGGATTTTCAAAAACACTATAAAAATCATTAAGAAAATCTTGCATTATTTTAAAAAGGTTTTTTAGTTATTTCTGCAGATTTTTTCCCTTATCCTAAATTTCTAAAACAAAACAAAGCATCTAATTTTTTTGAAATTGTATCATAGTTAATTGTTTCAAGATAGGCCAATTTGAGAGTTAATAAGGAAAAAAAATCAACCTGATTATTGCACAAATTCACCAAGGCCTAAATTTTTGTTCCTAATATTTTGTTTTGACCTGCTTGAAGCATTCAGTATGAGGCAACGTGGCAGGAAGGAAGTTCATGGTTTTTTTTTTTTTTT